GGGGGGGGGGGGCATGGCCTTTTCCCATTGCTGTGGCTGCCCTCCCAGGAGGGGTGCCTCCCAGCCTCCCATGGTGAGGTGAGGCTCGGGCATGGCTCCCAGCCGTCCCTGTCCCCAGGGCTCACCCTGACTGATAAGGTGGTCGGAGAGAAACCCGCTGAACAGACTGGCTGGAATTGCCACCAGCCAGGGCACCACGTTGAAGACCCAGCCCTGCAGGGAGGGAGGGGGATCTCAGAGGAAGCCAGGACAGCCCCCACATGCACCCCCACCCTGGGGGTCAGGCCTCCTTAACCCTAACCCATACCCACAGTGCTGGGCCCCCAGCACAGTCTCCCCTGGGGTAGAGTCTCCCAGGGCAGAGTGGGGGTAGAGAGGGACGTAGTCCCGGCCTAGGAGTGTGTACAGCTCAGGGGATCCTGGCCACCAGAACCGGGAGGGTGGCCAGCTTGCCTGGGTGACATCCTTGTTCACATCAGGCCTCTGCCTGGCACCTCCTCAGGAATGACCATCATAGACGGCCAGCCAGGCCCAGGCCGGGGCTCTGTGCAGGTTCACAGCCCAAGGTGTGAGTGAGCCAGTGTGGGGGGTCAAGGCACAGGCCAAGGCACTGGCCCTGAGTGTGGGGGAGTCATCTCGGGGCCATAGGCCGGCAGGGTGTCAGGACCGCATAGACCTGGGGCGGCAGGGGCCCATCTGCACATCCGGCGTAGCGCTGGCCATGTGTGGGCCTCACCCTGCAGGAATCCGGGCCGCACACCCACCTCAGAGCTCGGGAAGGTCTCCTTGAAGAAGGTGGGCAGCCAGGACAGCAGCGTGAAAAAGGAGCTGGCTGCCGCGAGCTGGGAGAGGACAGCCGCCCTGTGGGGACAGGTGCCACTCAGGCCCAGGGTCCCAGCCCAGGGGCAGACAGAGGGCCTGGGAGACCATGGCTCTGTGATTAGTCAGTGCTGGAGACATGCAGGGTCCCCAGCCCCCACCCTGTCCCACAAGGTGACCCCCGTGCATCCGGCTCACCAGACAGAAGGCTTCCGGAAGAGCTGTCTCCAGGGGACCCTGGTGTGCCTGGCCATGGGCAGGCCTTGCGCCAAAACACCCAAGGCCAGAATGAGATCTGGAGGGAGCAAGGAGTGCCCCTGTGAAAGCTACTCAGAATCGAGGAACTGCTGCTCGGAGGCACTGGCGACTGGGGGCAGCTCCCTTAGTCCACCCTCTCCTCTGTGGCCAGTGCCTTTGTGAGTCCACGTTTGTGTCTGAACAAGCTTTCCTGATTCCCCTGACCCCCAGCCCCGAGTCCTCCCAGCCCCTCTTCCGTCGTCTGACATGCGACCTCCCTGCCTCTGCCTTGGCCCTGGTGGACCCCTCAGCACAGAACGTGGTGGTAGCCATGGCCCAGGGTCCAACACGGGCGTGTTTTCTGAGGCTCTAGTCTGGGGCCGAGCAGCAGCCCCTAGTCCCCTGAGCTGGGGCCGCTCTGTGACTTTCATGTTGGGTGGCAGCAGGAGGGGCCCAGCTCCAGGCCCTCGCCCCCCCGGCGGCTGCATTTGTGGGCTGCGCCTCCCCGGCCGTGGTTACCTTGTTCGCTCAGCAGGTACCTGTACACGTAACACACCCAAAGCAGGGTGAGGCCGCCAGAGAGGTAGAAGACGCTCTGCCAGCCGTACCAGTTCAAGAGCAGGGAGCCCACTGCCCCGGTCACAAGCGTCCTGGAACAACAGAGGACCATGGCCCTGACCCTCAGCTTCACCCAGGCAAGGAGGCGCCTGGACAATCACACCCTGTGCAAGCTGAGTTCTTGAAAAACTAGATGTGCCCTCTCCCAGCCCACTGGTTAAAGACTGCAGTGTTCAGGAGACACTCTGACGAGATCAGGCACATTCAGGGTGGTATGGCCATAGACTCAGGAGACACTCTGGATGACACTTGGCCACAGTGCACTCAGGCACAGTCACGTGGCTGAGACATGGCACAGGGGCCCTGTGTTGCTTGAATGTCTTGAATTGTAGGCCTTCAAGGGAGCCTACAATTTGGGTGTGGGTCTTTCTAAACTAAAATCCCAATACCCCTGGGACCCTCGCCTCCCTACACGTCACCAGGTGGTTTGTTCAGGGTCTGCTTCCCCACTGCCCCCATCGGCCAAGGTTTGGCCAGGAAACAACAAAGGAGAAAAAACCTGGGCCCGGGATTGAGGCCACTGGGCCTGCCGGGGTCACTTCCTCTCTGAGGCTCCATTTCCTTGCCCCTGCCACAGGCCTAGGACACCAAGATGAAGTGGGATTTCAGATAAATAGAAATATTTCCTAGTGTCCCATATTGCTGCTCTGAATGCCACACGGCAGTGGGTGCCCTGGGTTCTTATTTGGGCAGCTCCAGCCCACCCATGGGCACCCCTCACTCCTCTGAATTCTTGCCTAGACCTTGGAGCAGTGGAGTGAGGGCCCTGAGCCCGGAGGTCATGAAGCCCAGTCAGGACATGGAGATGTCCTTCCACATGGAGCAGCAGGGTGGCCAAGGGAGGAAGGGCACAGGGTTATCACGCCCCAAACGTGACACGTGCCGCCGTCCAGGCCAAGGGCAGGCCGCCTCCCCCATAGGA